AATAAATAAATATATAAAATAAATAAAATGTTGCCTTTGGAATTTCTATAAATAAATTTAACTTTTTATTTTTATTTTTTTACTAAGAGGTCTTTGCTTTAAACTCAGTGGGGTGAGACCCAGAGAGCGATTAACTGAAAAGTCTCTTGCTTAAGTAAGACTGCACCCTCCATGCCTTTGTAAATGCAGCGTACACTTGAGCAGGCCACCAGCCAAAAATCCTGATGAATCAAAGTATGGCAGCTATGCTGATATATGACGAAGTACAACTGATCAAAAATTTAAAAGCGTGTCTATTCCCCAGCATGCATCAGGCCTTCCTCCTCCTCCTCCTCCCCTTGGCTCCTCTCTCTCGCGCTCTCACTCCCATTCATCCTCTCCCTTTCTCTCTCTCTCTCTCGCACTCACTCTCTCGCGCTCCCTCTCGTACTAAATCAAGCGAGTGGGCATAGGCTCTCCTCCAGGAGGACAAACCTTTAAGTGCAGAACAAAATCAGCATGTTCCATCCAAGCCTCCATCATACATTATGCATGCGACAAAGTTTGGCAACAGTGGAGCTGATGTGATGACACAGCTAATCAATAAGAACCCACCGCATGAAGCCTTTATAGTGGTTACTTTTTAAGGGCTCAAGTGAAGGAATTGTCTTTGTCAACTTTGGCTTAAAATATCCTTATATAGTTCCGGTACTTTCTCAGGGTCCACTGGTCTAGGTAAAAAATGTGTAAATTTTTGATGCCGTTTAGTCCTAGTCCCTTCTCTTGGAGTCCCATCTTTATTTAATGCAACGTAGTATCGTCTTCCAGTGTCCACGTGTTTATATAGATTTGATGAATATGTGTTATACCAGTTTTCTTCAAACTGCTCTCTGAATACACACTCCTGGGTTAATTTTTCCTATGGAAACAAAAGAAAAAGCATTAAGGAGATAGATAGCCATAAAAATCAGCTTTTTTTAAAAGAACTACTATTGTCACAGATTGAAACCAGTACCTCCATGCTCAATTTGCAAAATGAAATACGTCAATAGTCAATATTCTCAATTTTAGCTGAATAAAGTTGTATTGCTGGGTATTTCCTTAAGCAGTCACGATGGTGGACAACCCTATGTGAAGCAAAAATGGTTCTCCAGAAGCCTTATGGCCCAAATCGGAACAGCAACAACAAAACCAAAAGCAGGTATTTTAATTTGTGATCATTCTCAAGCAGCTCAAGAGATTGTTAATGGACTTACATAACTAATTGCTTCAAGAGTGAGTGCAGGCATTTGAACAAGCAAATATAAATAAAACTAAAAATGCTTTGCAAAGCTGTAATACAATTTAGGGCTTTAAAATCTCTAGATCCTTTCACTGCATGGACAACTCAGTGCATTACTTTAATTTAAAAAGATAATATTTACTGCCCTTTATTTAGTTTATTATTTGTATCACAGAACCACAACCCAAGAGAGCTTCAGGGAGAAGCACCAGCCTCATGTGCTGAGTTGAAGTCAGGCGAGAAAACCACTCCAGGTTTCCTTTACTAGGTCATGTCCTGACCCGCTGATGAGACCCACTGAAGACATCAGCCATTCACCAGATACCTCCTGCCTTCCAGTTCACCCACTCATTCAATCTGTGTGTCCATCCCTACATCCTCTGGTCTACACAGATGAGGTTTGCTTAAAAAGCAGCCACCTAATAACCAAATTCATTTTAGGAATGACTCAGAGAAGTCACTGAGCAAGAAGAGTGGTAAAAGGGTGGTGACCTCTAGTATGGGAAAGGCGATGGAAAACCGGGGAAAATAAGCCTGGAAATAGTCTTTTCTGCTGGCACAAAAAAAAAATATAATAATGATAATTTAATACATTTTTTTGTGACAAAAGTTCTCACTTAAATAGCACTTACATTGACCAAACTCAACTTCTATCTGAGGAGCAATTTCTAATTATTACAAAGCTCCATACAACACAGACTTCCATGCATATGATGTACAGACACTAAATCTTAAAGCAGTCCTTTCAGACAGAGAAGGGAAAACAGAGACCAAGGCCCAGATGCAGTAAAGCATTTAAGGTACCTAAGCCACAAATGCCTGCCTGAACACACCTAAGGATCCACACCTCAAGCCCCAGTGTCCCCAAGATGCTGCCATCCTTGGCTTAATCCAGGAGCTTCCCAAAACTCACCATCACGGAAGCTTGCAGCTTGCCCTGGAGCTGCAGGCACCTCTGGGGCCGCCTCTGCTGCTCAGGACTCCGCTCACAAATCCTTCCCAAAGTGATGTGCTTCAGCCTAGAGGTTTCACTGCCAACTTTGCAGAGCAAACATGCTGCTCCTGGGGGAGAGCTCTGCAGCCCAATATGGTTGAGGATCAGGGTCAAGTCTAGGGAGTGCTACGCATGTTACAGAAGCCACCCAGGAACCATCCCATACAGGGAGATCAAGCCCTGTAACAGTGGGGAGAGCACGCCAGCACCCCTCTGCACCCCTACGAACTGGGTACAGGGTTGCAAAGCCAGGGTCCTCCTCTGTGCCTAAAGGTTTGGGATTTGGATGTTTCTCCTCAATTCAACTTGTGGCAACTCCATGGCAAGAAAGGCGCAAGTAAACAGTTTTTGACTTCGCCTTTGATAGGCATTGGGAACCTCATCACCCCTCAGTAAGGACAAATTCCCAGCAGGACCAGGTTTCAGATGTTAAACATTTGAGTATTCACTGCAACAGAGGCCACATCCTCATGTGGACCCGGGGGGCTGCTGCTTACACAGTTGCAGGAGGAGGCTGTAGCAGAGAGGATGGCAGTCCCACCCCTCGCATGCTCTCCTGTGGTTTGACTGGGAGACTTCCCTCCCTGCAGGTCCAGCTGAGCAGCAAGTGTGAAAATGTGAGCACGTGCAAAGGTTGGTGGTATATATAATTTATTTCAGAGGCGTTGCCAAATACAACATTTTTAACAGGCTAAGTAGCCCAAACACAGCAACACTCTGTACTGGTTATAGGGAAAATAAGCACAAATCTATTAGTCTTAAATCCTTATCTATGGGCCAGATCCTGCAATCTCCTACTGATAAGTCCCTCTATGTCCTTTGACAGTGAGAAACTGCAGCAGCAATGAAAGTTACTGGACCTCAGCCACAGCTGAAACTTGCAGACATTACAAGAAACCTCTTGTGCAGCACTGATGCACAAACTGTTATAAAAACTGTTCAGGTGCTATAAGGATTGTCTTTAAGTACAGCTTTCATCAGTGTTTTATTTTGCATGAGGTTTAATATCATTTTGTTTGCTTTAAGGCAGAAGCAGATGCTGAGGAGTGTTATATGCTTGGCCTATAGGTCCATGGGGAAAGAGAAACTAATTCAAATTGTTTTGCTGCTCTCAGAAGGCAGTAGGATCACATGACAAGCACTGCAGAAGCACTCCCTGCTAAAAATAGCAACATTTTAGGAAGATATTTCAGTCCTGTCTTGAATTCATTAATTATTCACTTCATCTGCATTTTTTTAGCATCATCATAAATTTCTATCTTTGCAAGAACAGTACTTCCCCATGCCCTGAAGAAGAGATTTTAAAATAGCCTCTCTTTATCTGGCAGGTTTGATGGATCATGACAGTGCTGTGGTACACCTAACTAGCAGACCTTGAATAAGGGGGTTTGCATTGTACTGCATTCTGGATGAGTTCAGTGGATTTCAAACTTACAAATTTCAATCTTTATTTTACAATCTGCTTTTTTACTTTTCACCTTCTTACAACACAGCTACATCTCTTTTGTCCTTCATCAAAATTCTCAGATATTCATGTACAGACAGTAGGTATGAACTTGACAGAGCAATCAGGATGCGGGTTAAGATATTTAGGGACACTAACGATCACACTTTCAGAGAAGTGAAATAATTTCTTTGTAAATCCATCTAACCCTTTCCTTCTGGAACATTCTAGTTGTAGTCAGAGACCACTGGAGTAAATCAGTGTCAGTGACTTTGGATCAGGCCCTGTATATAACATGGGGACCAAAACCCCAGCATATCCTTCTTCCCATGCCCTGGGAGGTCCTTACAATAAGAGCTCAGCTAGTACCACAACAGACAGAAACCAATATCCACTAAGACAGTCATCTATGTGGAATCATGGAATCATGGCATCATTTAGTTTAAAAAAAAGCCTTTAAGATCAACTGCTAACCTAGCACTGCCAAGTCCACCACTAAACCATGTACTACCACACTGTCTAACACTAGCTTACACTAGCTTACATTCATGTTTTGAGCACACATGTCTTTATTCAAGCCAGAAACGAGCATAATACAAGGGTGAGGCTGGTCCATCCTGCCAACAAGCACCTTTTTGCCTCACTAACTTAGGATGGGAAAGTCTTGACGAAACCAGCTCTCCTGATCACAAGTGGTTTATATTTCCCCCTCTGGCTATAACTTCTAGAAAGTCGTTGTACATGTAGTCAAAAAGCACAATTTAGCCCTAGAATACAGCACTTTTCCATATTTTTATTCTAGCAACTGACGTCTCTATCATTTTTCCAGTGTTAGTATTTCCGTGCACCATACTTACTAGACATCTTTATCGAAGGCTGACATAAATACCAAACAGAGCAAACTGGAACAGCTATGGAAAGTAACCTGCATTCCAGTGAAAGGGGAGGCTGCCTCCCTTGATCAAATCATTTAATTCAGGCGCCAAATAAAGAGGTGACCTCAAAATTACATAAATCAGATGTTGCACCACACACCACATATTTTCTGTGAGGACTGTTCAGAGAGTATTCCACTACAAAGTGACTGATTCTCATTTTACTACACTTCCACACTTTAACTGTTATTTTTTAACCTGTTATTTAACTCTGAAATTTCAAATAATTGAATTGTGCAAAGATGCACATATCACAAGGGCAGAAATATGAGGCAGATTTAATTCAAACGTCTGATAATGTCTGGTCAGTGCTAGCGAGCCCAGAATCCCCTTCTCCTCCTATATGATCCATCATCTAACCAGGGAGAAAAATAACTGTATTATTTCCATGTAGATCGATTAAAAGTGAGATGGTAAATTGATGAACTACATAGTTACAGCCATCACAATGAAAGATTTGCCAGCTTGTTTAAAAATAGATATCCCTGTGCAGCAGCTAGTGGAAATAAGCAAAACACATGTATACTGCACAGAGAATGGTTTCATGACACCAAAGAATGGCAAGACATTTGTGCTGCTTAATAGTTGAACACACAGTACAGGGTCCTGTATAAAATGCATCTTTTTTTTTTCTTTTAAATAATCTTACAGATCTAAAACTCCCATTTCTTTTATAAACTGACAAAAAGAAACCTCTTCAGACCAGCATTCCTAAAATCACAAGAAAATACATTTCACATCTAGCAAACTATTCTGTTCTGTGCTATGTATAGTCTTCCCTTTCGCAAACTGCTACAGTGAATCAATAGAGACACTTCAGAAGAAAACACCTAATCCAGAAGTCCAAACAACTATTAACAAGTATATCTGATGCAGTCAGCACTTCCTACATACCTGCTGCACATTATCACTGTGTTAATCCACCCTGTCTTAATAAAATCATATTTAGATATACACTTTCCTAAGTAAGTTGATGCAAATCCTTCATTGTGGCCATATGATGTTAATAAAAACTGCATATGTAGTGAAGAGAAACAAACCCAAAAAAAGCCCCTATTCTCTTCCACAGTGGTTTTCTTTGCTGTTCTACCTACAGACGCATTTTCCATGCAGTTGGCCCTTCCCATGCCATAATGCAAACAGCCTCTAGAACATATCACACTCAGCTAATAATTAACACTCATCCAGAGCTGTCATAAATAAAGGTGTAGTTTAGCATTTGCTGTGGTGTTGTCTGATCTCCCATGCTAAGCCTGTTAGTCTC